ATGTTTAACTGTGTATTCAGTATCGGAATACTTATGCACAGCATTCATATAATAAATTTTATTTGCATCATTTTCTTTTTCATTGGAGGCCCCAAAGCTCGATAACAGTAGAGATATAGAGCCCCAGATTAGGATAAAGATGCGATGTTTCTGTTGTGCAGTTATTCCACAAGATTAAGCTAATATAAACGCCGTTATTTGTCTCCACGGCGTGAGTCTGATTATTTTGCTTGTTTAATATTTATGAGATGGGTGCATTGCTTTTAGACGACAGTCAATATTTAGACATATTCTTAAATAATAAAAAGAGCGATGTTATTCACTATCATTAAACCAAACAAAGTTCATAAAAATATTATACTTATGCATGATATATTGAAGGGTTACAGGCGGCCTTCGTGCTAACAAGCAGCTTTATTAAAAAAATATAGAAAGACTATGGTTAATGAAGTAAGAAACTAAGGAACAATGAGCAACTCCCACAGGGACCAAACCTTTTAAATTTGTTTTTATTTTCTATTTATTAATTTTTAATTATAATTATTATTTCTGTTTAGGTAAAGGAAATTGTAAATTATTTAATAATTTAATTAAAATGTATTGTTTTGTGAAGTAGTGGTTCTATAACATGTCAATATATTTTCATATGTTAATAAACTCATTATAAAATAAAATCAAGGAACAATATTAATAAAAGTCTATGACACATAAGTTAACAATAAAAGGGAGAACCACATAATTTCAAGTTTACGTTGGGTTTATACCAAATACGTATTTAAAAAAAACTTTCGCGGTAGAGAAATTAAGTTTCTTCATAAGCCCTAACTAATATATAATCTAACTATTTCAAATAGTTATGGAGGATCAATGAATAAGAAAAAATATTATCAAAATAATAAAAGCCTAAAAGTGAAAACTGGTAATCACAAAGGCAGGTGCCAATTAATTATTTTCAAACCTAATTCCATAATAATTATAAAGTTACGTTAGCAATTTGATCGGCGACGTTATCTCAAACCACAGTTTGTGATCACTTTGACAACTATGCTACCTTGCCGCTTCCCAGAAGAGCAAATTGATGCAGAGATTCCATTACATCAAACTTACATACGGAAAATTAATTTAATCTTATAATATCAACAGAATTATTTTAAGTAATGATTTATTGTTTAGGTTAATTTAAAATATGTGTCTTAGAATTGCTATAACTAGATTATACAATTTTTTAATACACATTTATATTTCCTTTATTAGTTAAATTTATAATCTCATATTTATAAGTAATAAACAAAATTCAGTAGCGCCACAAACTTTTTAGGTCTGGGCCTCAGACTTCTGAATTTGTTTCATGATCATTTTACAATCTAATAGGCAAGTAGGTGGACACCCTCCTGTGCCTGACGCACGCCGACTACAAGTCCATCGGTGCACAGCCTCAGTGATAAGAGTCGAAGCCTGAAGCCACTAGGTCAACACTTCTCTAAATTTATTAGTATTCTTTATCTTATCTTATTTTTGACTAATTGAATTCTTCGCAAAAAGCATTAATTGTATCAATAAAACTGTTTACGTAACTTCTCCTGCTAAAGAGGATGATTCTCACGTTAAAAGAACCGCCTCAGATTCATACAAACAAAATACTTGTCCGAAATAAAAGCTTATCTATTAATAGAAACAAAAGCCAATACGTCCAAACCAAGGTCACTGACACCGTATCTTTTATCTTTACTTTTATTACGACAATCCACCTAATGTGCCTATAGTACGCTCAAGGCTGTTGACAGAACAGCTATTCATTTATTTAACTTAATTACGGAGCATGGATTATACCAACTTTATACGAATGAAATGAACAAAAAATAAAATCAAGAAAACGGATAGGTGAAGTCTGCACTCGAAGCATACTCGCTAACGAAGGGGGTTTTATGAAAATGAGAATAGAATTTACCCCAGAGAGTTCTAAAAACACTTTTTATTGTTATGCAAAGTGAAATAAATAATAGTACTTTTTAATGCAAATATACTATTGTTATTTTTATTATCGTAACTTTAAAAAATTACAAATGAAATATCAATTAATTATAATTAAACCTAGCTTATTAATACAAAAAAAGAACAATGAAAACAATGACTAACCTTAAAATATAATAACTAAAATATATTATTAAAAGAAGTCCCTTTAGGCAAGGTTCCGAAGATACTGGCAGCGTATCCCCTTTGAATAGCAAGACTAATTCTTTGTCCAAGGTAGCTGCCAGCTCTTCGGTCTCCTGTGATGTCGACTAACCTTTTTGATATTTCCTTAAAAAGCCTTATAGCGTAAGGACCCCACGGACCAAAGGTCTCGACACCAAATGGGACAAAATCATATGCGGAGCCTAGACCCCTGTATTTGCAGGCTTTAGCTTTTTCAGCCGCATGACATGCCGCACCTGCTCTATTGTTGGTTCCATGTAGATGGGAAGGAGCCATTGTTATTTATATATAAACATTGATTATATAGCTCTGAGCCATGAGTATAAACCTTAGTGTCAAAGCATTTAACATACTCGTATCACGGAACAGTCGGCAAAACGGCATATCTTAAATCTAAAGATGTACGGTATGAGGTAATAAATAATCTATAATACTATTGGCATTAATAAAAATTTGCTTTACAAGTCTTACATTTGTAATGATTTCAAAGGGACGTCGACCCGCTCTGTGAATGAGTGCGTTAAAATTGAGCTTCATTCGTTCTATAATGGAAGCAGGTGTTTCCCTTTGTGCTTTCGTTATTCCTTCAACTTCTCTAATTGAGTTAACAACTTGAGTACTTTTAAGGACCTCCAATTGATCGCGTAAAATAATATTTAATACCTAGTGTACATAAAAATAAAAGTAAATAAATTGATGACAATTTCTTCCTCTTTTGCTAGAATTTTGTATTAATGAAGCTTTCTTTATTAATGAAGTATGTAATGGCGCTTTATGCCAGATTTTTCTCAATTACGCCCGTTCATTACAAAAACTAAACTACACCGTTATTAACTAAAGCATTCTGTATTTTCATTACATGGTATCAATTTGTGTTTTAATTAATATAAAACAGATAAAAAGAGAAGGAGAGTGGCGGAGAGTTTATTGCTAGTTCTTCTCTTCCGTTCTACGCCCTTGATTCGAGAACTGGCAGTCAATGTAAAATTAGAAGCATTTAATATATATTTCTTAGACGTTCATAAGCGTACATTGTGTTACCTATATAAATAAATGATTTTTTATTGGTCACTCTTAAGTCACATGCTCAAGAACAAGCGATGGCCTGAAAAAACAATCCAATAAACTCAAGATGATTTGATTTTCTAGATAATTAAAAATCAATGCTTTCTTATATTTAATTTGGTTGAAATTTTTTGAAAAGATTTATATGTGAATTTATCAAATTATTTAGCTGACTCGACGTTTCAAATACTTTATAGCCTCAGTCAACTTGGCGGCCCTAAACAATTTATTGAATCGCTTCCTTTAAAACACCGAAATCCAAATATTAGCGAGTCGCTTTAGCCATACATACAAACCAAACTACTTTAAATTGGAAATCTAAACAACTAAAGATGTATTAATTGAACATATTTAAATCCAGTTGCGCATCTGTTAATTTAAATGTTTCTTAACGAGTTTTAATGAATTAACGTGAGCTATTTTCGAATATTGCATTTTTCGGTGACAAGTAATTAAGTAATTAATGAAAATACGAATCAGCTGCAATTTTCAAATAAAAATTTCTTTGTTATATATAATAAATGTTGAAATGAAGACCTCGTGAACCTAAACAAGAAAGTGCTAAAAAACTTCCTTAAATAATTATTTTCTATATATACATAAATAAAAAGGTAATGAAATCTTTTAAATACGTATATCTATTCCAAAAAAATATTATACTCGTTAAACCGAGTTTATAAGTTTTTGATACAAATCTATATACAGAGTACAAAAATTTATAATAATTGTAATTAATTTGACAATTATTGTCAAATGGGGGGGTGGGGGAAAAACATAAAAAGGAAAAAAAAAGTGGGGGGGGGGGGGGGGGGAAACCGGGGGGGGGGGGGGGGGGGGGGGGGGGGGCGCGGGGGGGTTTTTTGGGGGGGGGGGGCCCCCGGGGGGGGGGGGGGGGCGCCGGCCCCGGGGGGGGGGGGGTACTAAGCTACATATCCAAGTAGCTTTTGTGTTACGGGAAATACGGAAATAGCATATCGGTTATAAAAATGATTGACTGATTTAAAAAGTTGTGTAAAGATACGTTTTCATAAGCAATATCACAAATATAAGCCTCTAAACTTAGAAATAATCAAGATTCCGACGACAACTTTGCCCATCTTGTGTGTTATTTATTTTCCCTAGAAAAAGTTTATCTATACAATTGAAACTAATAAGATTGTAGGTTTATGTTTTTATCTTCAACTTAAGATATAACGTTACCCAAACATAGTGTGAGAAACATAAGCAGACACATTTTTGCTTCTGTTTAAATGGTTATTTTTCAAATTGCCTTTGCGCGTGCCAACTCGAAATAGTTTTTGTTCTGCTGGGAATCGATCTTAGGTCAAGTTGCATAGCTACGGAGGCGATTAGAAAGCCTTATACGCCATTATAGTTAGTTCCATTCGATTTCCAGTGAAACAATAGGTAGGGTTGATAAACAGAAAAGGCTAGACATCTTTTGCCTATTTAAAAGATCAATTAAAAACGACGCAAAAATGTCCGGCTTATTCGCTGTTTTGACAACGGACTTTATTTAAACAACTTAAAAAAGGTATCTAAAATTTAGCATTTTCTTTTAAAATTTTCACACCAATTACGGACGAAAAGTTTCTACAACTTTAAGAAGGTTTTAATAAAACCTCAGCATTTAAATTAAAATTGACAGTTAGTCTACGAATTTAAATAAAGAACGTATTTTAAAGCTTTAAAATTAACAGAACGAAAACTTTGTGATTTTATATTTTAAGTAAATAAAACTACAACTCACGGACAAAGATGTTAGACATGAGCGTCGCCGGGAGGCAGAACACGATCACCAATATGTCAGCCACAGCTAAGTTCACGATGAAGAAATTGGTCACAGTTCTCATACGGGGCGAGCGGTACACCACGGCAATTACGAAGAAATTGCCCACAAGTCCCACAAGAAAAACCAACAAATAAGCCACACAGTAGACCGCTGTCATTGCACTATTATGTCTATAGATAAACTCGTCGTCAACCACACCAAAATCCGACCTGTTCATAGTTATATTCATTTTATCGTGACTGAATGGACTATCCATATGAGTCGATAGGGGCTCCATGTCTGGCAACATGGCATTCTCAGGAACAAACCTCGTATTAATCACCTCCATTATGGAGTTCGACAAAGCGTCCACAACGTGGTTCCTGGAATGGTCGCGCGAATGATTCTTATGGCGAAAGTGCCGCTCCGGATGCTGCGTTGAAAAGTTATAAAAGTCCACAAACTCCGAAAAGTCCGTCGGTACACGCATCGGAGCCATTTTACACACTTATTAAGTCACAAAATTTAAGTAGAAAGTTAGTGAATTAAAGGTCATAGTTAAGATAATAACGTATAAAAAGTATTAAAAGTTCCGATACCGAGAGATCTTTAACGGGTCCGTAGCACTCGTTCGTACCTCGTAGCGGTCTCGCGCCGTCTGATACAGACACGCTACGGTATAGGCCCGAGCTCCGACGCATGTGCATTTCGGGGCCTATAGACATATTTAGTCAGTGCTTATAAAATAAATCTTAGCGTGGTTAGAATAAGGGTTATAATTGTAAGCATCAGTGTATGTGATACTTGCAAAAGAATTGGGAAGGCCGAGAGGCAGGCATCACTGGAAATTGTTAGAATTTTATACATTTATATGAGTGATTGAATTTTATTTCAATTATACATTCAAGTATACATTTTGTATAAAAAACGTTATAAAGAAATTATATTTGATGAATTGTTGTTTTAATCAAAACATAGTAATCGGCACCATAACTTAGTTGTGTACAGCTTTAATCTTGTGTACAATAAAACAAAACATCATAAAATCTGCGCCATAAATCTGTATCCTTCGAGTATTTCATCATCTTAACAACGTTTATGATTGTTTCACACTTAACTAGTCTGTCCATAATTCGCAAGAATAATTGAAATTATTTCCAAAAATAACAAGACAAATCACCGCCCACGTAGAAGCTGATTTAATGAAATTCCTTTCAAAATCAAAGCACACTGAATTTCCAACATATTAAATGTGGTGACTATAGAGAACTATAAATTTGATTAAACATTATTTTTAGTACTTTATTGTTTCGTTGCTTAGTTGAAAATGTTTACAATATTTTTACATGCATTTATTAACAGCGGTTATACCCAATTTAACGTCTATTTTTTTTAATGATGAAAAACAGATCGCTGTCTCCATTAAGCTCGACAACAGCAGGCATCGGGACAGATTAAAAAATAGTTTTCATTTAGGTAAGTACTATGGCAAACAACCCTTTTACCAAATATTATTAAAAGCTATACTTGTACATACAATGCGGTATGCGGTTCTTATAAATGTATGAACTTGCTTAATGACTTGTTCAGTATAAAAAATAAATAAAAACGTATAATTAACTTTCCAATTAATAAGGTTTCTTTAGAATCATTGCGGACTTTTATAAATACACTCATTAATACGCTACCCTTCAATTATTATGTAAGTACATGAACTTATTTATGTTTAACGTGTTACCATTGTTTAGTTATTGGTTTTATAGGTTTCTCATTTCTAAACCTTGAGTAGCTTGCGTATTTTGTATGGCTTTTTTATTAAACGTGTTTGAATAAACGATATTTCTGTATTCCACCCGTATCACCTCGACGTCCGCCGTTCCACAACTGAGCGTTTTTCAAGGCAGTTTTTGCCGCGCAGCACCACTATGTGGAACCAGCTGCCCACTGAAGTATTTCCGAACCAATTCGACTTAGGGTCCTTCAAGAAAAGAGCGTACCAATTCTTAAAAGGCCGGCAACGCACTCGCGAGCCCTCTGGCATTGAGAGTGTCCATGGGCGGCGGTATCACTTAACATCAGGTGAGCCTCCTGCCCGTTTCCCCTCGTTCTATAAAAAAAAAATTATTGTTATTTATATGAATGGCAGTTTTAAATCTTTACGTACGCCCCTAGATTTCTGCATCTGTGTACGTTTTTTTAAAATGCTTTTAATTTTTAGAACCACGTATTTGATCAGATTTTAATAAACATTAGATTAAAAATGCATCATAAAATGACATGCTAATCTAATCACTTAATTATCTTCTTTAACAAGATTATAAATAGTTGCTATTCAAAAATAAATTGACGTTTAAACCGTGATATAATTAAATTGTGAACGTCAATTAGACTAATAGAATACGTAACAAACTATTGATAAAAACTTAGATTTTCCATAGATATAAACAATGCACTATCTTAATTTATAGCAGCCTTGATTTGAGCCCGAAGGATACGTTGCATATTGGACCACCAATCACTACCTTGCAGGTCAAAGAGTTTAGATTAAGAGCCACTTCAAATAGTATATCAGACTATTTTCTTAAATATACTGAGTTACTTACATACATTCCTAAACAAGTACACACGATGGCTAGCTAGATAAGATAAGATAGTTATTTTGTTGGATTTAAGTTTCTATATAAGACTTTTCTTTTATTGTAATTTTGCCCTCCCTCGGACAAGCAAAAAAGCTGGAGAGGCCGCAGAGCAGGTGGCTCAAATATAAGATTCTTTTCTCAAACTTTGATTTTGTTCCCTTTGGAGTAGAGACTCTTGGGCCGTGAGGTTCAAGTGCACAGGCGCTAATAGAAGATTTAAGTTGGCGCCTGGTAGATAGTTCCGGTGAACCCAGAGTTTTCCTAGCTCAACGAATAAGTATCACAATACAGTTAGGAAATGCTTCTATAATGCGTTAAAGGTACACTGCCACAGGGACCTAACTTTTTAACTTTGTTTTCATTTGCTTTTTATAATTTTTAATTATTTTTATTAGTACTATGAAGGTTAAGAAAATTGTAAATATTGTATATTTGATTGTTATGAATTAATGAATCATTAACTGTATTTTTTTAATGAATAAATTTTTCCTACCGCGGTCAGTGCCTGGTTGTCCATAACAAAGGAATATCCTAGTGTGAGAATCAGTTTATTAGTTGACCAAGCGACCCTTGAGGAGACTCTTGGATAAGCATGCGATACTCATAGCCGAGGTCATCAGTTCGAACTTTAATATCATACCGATTTTCTCCATGTACACAATTCGTATGATGTATTTATTTCATTATCTCCTATTTTTACAGAACCTTAATATTCTGTAACTTTTTAAACTTCTGAACTCAACCATTAAAAAATAAGGAAAATCCTATACCAAGCAAACAAGAAAAACCAATAATAAAACTACTAGATTAGAATTATAAATCAATTTTGATAAGTATACAGAAGAATTGCTCCTTTTTATTAGTAGGTATGTTATTCTATGCGTAATATTGTTAATTGATTACGACATTAAATTCCAAATACAATAACTGATTTCATTCAATAAGATTTCTGTCTATTATAATAAAATTAAATAAGGGAAACATCTCTATAGTAAAAATATAATTGGCAATTGGTACGTAATTTACCGTTTCATTAAAATTACAAAGTGACATGACAGGTCTTAGTAAATTATATCAGCAACTTCCGGACTAAAGGAAGCGATCAGCGCTGCGGCCTCAATCTGGTGCGACCTCGTAATCTACTTGGTACTTTATTAGCGACATATTTCCCAATCAACCCTATTGACATACTGACTTGTCAAGCCTGACTATTCTCGCCCGAGATTTCTAGGTATAATACGAAATATTGCCAATAAACTAAATTGCCGTTATGAGAAATTCAGTAAAATTAACGAATAATATTTTTAATTTACGTGGGTTACCGCTCAATACGGTTTTTGGTGACATTTAATGAATAGTTTTTACTTCCATACCAAATATAGCGACTATCACAGCCCACAGAGTAGACGAATTGATGATTCATGGGTGTTTGAATTTCAATGAAACATAGTTTTGTGTAGGAAATATTAAAAAATCATACTTAAAGTTACTGATGCTTTACATCTTCTGTAAATACCTTATACACTTAGCAACTCATATAAACATTTTCTTTTTATATAACAGGGAGCAAACTGGCAAGAGGCTCGCCTGATGTTAAGTGATATCCCCGCCCATGGACACTCACATTGCTAAAAGGCTCGCAAGTCCGTTTCCATCTTTTTAAGAATAAGTATGCTCTTTTCTTGAAGGGACCCTAAGTCGAATCGGTTTAGAAATACTTCAGTATTTACTAATCGATGAGTAACTGGTTCCACATAGATGTGGAACGACGGACATCGTGAAAAGGGTAGGCTGCAGGTATTAATCTCAACAACTCTTCTGAATACTCTCCACGGTAAATGCGGTAGAAGATGCATAGAGACCCTACATCTCTACGCAACGCCAAGGGCTAAACAATGAAATGTTCAGCTTTACAACAACAAATAAATATTTTTTAAGTTATAAAGTCAAAAACCACAAATTTGAATACTCTATAATAATACACTTTTATATTCTCTAACAACAATGTTAACATGATTACATAAAACATAAAATTGTATATCAAATCAAATCGGTGGTACGTCTAGCGCTCGTAAACTTGGTTCACCCATTGAAACGGACCCGTAAAAACTCGAATATTTAATTTATTTAGCTGATAATGAAGGAATATTTCTAACGAAACGGTTTATGGCGAAAATAAAAATATAATGTTGTTGATATTAAAACTCTACGCACCTGCGTCTAGCGTTTTGTTGTACGATACATGCTTTGCCAAAAAAAATTGTGGTAATAATCTTGCCTCAGATGTTATTATTTTTCCAAATTACAGTTATTATTTTTGCAATCAAAGATATTATATTTATTATTTTATAGACATTAGGCACTTTCCTTACTTACAATATGTATCAGTGCGTACTAAAGCCCTTAGAATTGAGATACATATGTTTAGCCACCACAAGATCATATTTTTTCCGTATTTATATAGTTCTAGCCCGTACAGTATCGGGCATAGGAATACCTGCTTTGCTCGGACCTTAATCTTAAGGTACGAGGCACTAAGTGCTTCCAGTAAGAATACTAATGACCAAACCTCTCCTAGGCTCCATCAGAGTGTATATGACTTCGAACGCATAGTCAACTCCCTCTATGCTTGCTGTGGTCGTACAGCGCATTTCTATTACAGTTAAATAAGACTTTTTAGGATGTTAATATAGATCTCTCGTTAATATCCTAAAGTATTTTTAAGACAATATTGTCACTAATGAACTTGTAATTGTTTGAAAAATTAGTAGATTTCGAATATCGAATTCAAATATCAGTAAAAATCTTCTTCCTTATATTAAAGCACTTAAAAGTATCACGCATTTTTTTTTTGTGTGTA